CTACTCATTTAAGTTTACTATCTTAAAGACACTGTCTCTAAATATATCCTCATCAGGGATTAAGTCTTTCATATCAATTTGATGGTAGATACAGACATTGAGACTATAAAGTCTTCAAATATGTCTTCAAAACCCTGATTTCAGTTTTTTCAGCTAAATACCAGAATCAGAATTTCTGGATCATATGATAATTCTATTCTTAATTTTTTGAGGAGCCATCATTACTRTGTCCATAGCTGCTTAACCATTTTACATTCACATTAAGAAAGTACAAGGTTCACAATTTCTTCATTCCTTACCAGCTCTTATTTTCTGTTATTGTGATACTTGCCATCTTTAATGTGTTCGAAATGGTGTCCCATTGTGGTTTAGATTCGTATTTCTAATGTTAAGGGTCTTTTCATATATTATTGGCATTTTATAATGTCTTTTTTTGGAGTTAATATCTATTCAAGACTTCTAACCTTTTTTTTTTTTTGTACTGGGGATTGAACATAGGGACACTTTTAGCCAGTGAGTTACATCCCAGCCCTTTTATTTTTTATTTAGAGACAGAGTCTCATTAAGTTGCTGAGTTTTGAACTTGTAATCCTCCTGCTTCTGCCTCCCAAATCACTAGGATTTAAGGCACATACCCCATACTTAGCCACATCCATTTTTAACTGGGTTGTTTTTGTGTTATTGTTGAGTTGCAGGAGTTTTTAAGTATATTTTGATATTAACTCCTTACTAGATACATCATTTGCAAATATTCTTTCCTTTTTGTTATATTCATAAGGTCTTTTGATGAATAAAGGTTTTAAATTTTAATGAAGTTCAATGCATTTATTTTCATTCCTTGTGGGTTTTTTTGTGTCAATGAGAGAAATCATTACAAAATCCAGGGTCATGAAATTTTTCCCCAATATTTTCTTTTAAATATTTTACAGTTTTAGCTCTTAAGTTTGTGTCTTGGATCCATTATATGATATAAGTTAAGAGCCCACGTTCAGTTTATGTGGATATCTATTTTTCTCAATACCATTTATTGAAAAAACAATTGCCCTCTCCTCATTGAATAATCTTAGTAGTATTATTGAAATCATTTGACCCAATGAGTTTATTACTGGATCTTCAGTTCTGTTTCATTGGTCTATATGGCTTTCTTTATGGTAGCACTACATTGTTTTGATTACTAGTTTTATGTTTTACAATTAGGAAGCATGAGATCCTAACTCTGCCCTTCTTTCTCAAGGTGTTTTAGCTATTTGGTTTATCTTGAGATTCCAAATGAATTTTAGGATGCAGATTTCTATACCTGGGGAAAATAAAAGCCATTTAAATTTTGATAGGAATTGGATCGAATCCATAAATAGCTTTGGGTGGAGCTACATTTTAATGGTRTTGTCTTCTAACCCATGGTGATGTGGTGTATTCTCTTTTACTTGTGTCTTTTAGTTTATTTCACTGATCTGTGTTAGTATTTTGCCAACTTGGTTAAATTTATCCCAAAATATTATATACTAATACATTGTAAATAAATATTTTTGTAATTGCCGGATAGGATTGTTTTATCATTGGTGTATTTAAACAGAACTTGTAACTGAAAATTTTTATCCACTGGACAACAATTTCCCATTACCCACTTCTAATCCCCTAGTAACTACTGTTTTTCTTTATGTTTCTATAARTTTGACTACTTCAGATAACATCTTTTAAGGGGACTCATGCAGTGTCTTTTTTTGTGATTGATTTATTTTACTTAGCACAGGCTTATTTGTGTTGTAGCACATGACAGGATTTCCTTCTTGTTTGAGGGTGAATTTTAYTATGCATTTTCCATTTTATGTATGTTTGTCCTCCCGTCTACCAGTGGACAACTTTGTTGCTTCTCCCTCTTAACTACCATGAATAATGCTTCATTAAACATGGGTGTGTAAATATCTCTTTCAGATCTTGCTTTTAGTTTTTTTGGATATACATTCAGAGGTGGGTTTGCTGGATCATATGGCAATTCTATATTTAATTTTTTTGAGGAACCTCCATTATGTTTGTGTTTTTCATAGAAGTTTTGTATTCCTACTAACAAGGCAAAAAGTTTCCACGTTTTCCACATCCTCACCAACATTCATTTATTTTTCCTCATACTAATCTATATAAGGTGATACCTCATTATAGATTTTATTTGCCTTTCTCTTACAATTACTGATGTTGAGCATCTTTATATGCTTTGTCCATAGGTGTTTCTTTTTTATGATTCCTCCATATACATGGCTGATATTAAATGTCTCAATTTTTCTGAGAATTTCCTTGGTTCTTTTATAGCTTTAGGTATTGTGTTCATGCGTAATCTCTTGCCCATGCATGTATGGATTTGTAGTTATGGTTTTTAAGAACCATACCTATGGCCTGAGATATGACTTGTGCCATCATCAAGTCCAATGGCAGGCATCCCTCATGCATTTAAGAGTGCCAATTCTGTCTGCTCTGTTCTCTCAAGTATGTGGAGTGGAATTTCCCAGAACTGTATTGAGGAGGATGTTGGGCATGAGTGAGTAAAAATGCCATAAAATTTCCCACTGTTTTYCCCACTATTTTCTTTTGCAGGTATTTTGTTTTGTTTTGTTTTGTCTGTGTGTTCACTGGATTGCTATTTATATTTGACTTGTTTTCAGAGCTCTTATGAAGTTACTTTGTCCTATACCTTGTAGTTTACTTAATATTTTCATGAGAGAACTGGGGTCCAGAGCTTCCTATTTCAGCATCTTGTTGAACCTTCTCCCAATATATAATTTTGATGTTTATTTGCATTGTTTAGATTCTGGTTTATTTTAATACTTTTTTTGGTATAGTAAAAAGCTCGTAAGTTAACCAATTGTATTTTTCTCTTTTGGTGTCTATTTTTAAAGTAGTTTTTCTATTCTTTCTCATTGATTTATCTGGGTAGTTTATATATTCTGAATCATATTCTTTTGTTGATTACATAACTGCAGTTATTATCCTAATGTGCTCCTTGATTACTACTTTAAAATTTTATTAAGTYCTTATTTTATTATCAAGTACTTTTATTAGGTTCATGTATGTATCTTTTAAAGAAATTCCTTATCTAAAATTTGAGAAGGTTTTTTCCAGTACTTTCTTGTCATTTGTTTATAAGTCAATACTAAGTCATCAGTGCATCCTTCTTTCTTTAATAAATGTAGTCCACTTATCTTGTTCTATATGTTTAAATTCCATTTTAACATTTTCCCTCAAATATGCTTTACAGAGAAAAATATTTTAGTATTACAATACTAGGAAAGAATACTACAGATAAGGATTCTCTGGTATTAGACATATTATATCATGAAAGTTTGTTATTTCTAATAGCTATTGCAAGATCATATATACATAACCATGAACTCAAAATTATGCCAATATTGGTTCTTTTTGTGAAAAACAGTATAAACTATGTATGTAAAAATAGCATGAAGATTTCTCTTCAGCTTGTGCTGTGATTTAACACTTCCAATAAATTTTCTTAGCATTACCACATTTGTGTTTTCAGGAAATATTAATGTGTGATTTGAGAAAAAAGGCATTATGATCACATACGTTTGAGAAAACATATTGTATTAACATCATTGGGACTTTAGTATGTACATTATCAGTTTAAAGTTTCTTGTTATTTGTAAAGCAAAAACACATCTATTTAATATTGGTGAATTCGTGTTTTTTTCCATCTGAAACATTACATTCCAAATAAAACATCTACTAATATTTGAAAAAGTCTGTGGAATATACTATTGAAAATATTTCCTCTTAATAAATAGTTAAAATATTTCCTAATTTTAAAAACTACTTCTTAAAACTTAAAACAATATGAAATTAAATAGTAATAGTATAATAATCCAAACATTAATACATATTATTATAACGCTGGAAGAATTTATTTGATGTCCTRTAACATCCATACCTTATATGTATGACTGAGATCCTTGTCCAACTACTCTTTCAATAGGAAAAGGAGAAACAGGTTAGATACTCAACCTAGTTAGAATTCTGCATGACAGAATGTGAAATGCATGACTGTACTTGGAGTGGATGAGATGGTAATCCCAGAGTGCATTCTGGTTAGGCATTTATTGATTGCATATACACTGAGTGCTTTTTCATAGACGTCATCTCATTTTAATCCTTATGTTAATATTATGAATTTGGCTATTATTTTACCTGCTTTACAAATGAGCATAGTCAAATTTAGAGACTTGAATGCTTTACCTGGGATTCCAGAGTAAATCTCATTAACAAATGGTATTTGAACTCTGTTTCTTTCTGCACTTCTTTAACTTTCTGTCATGAAGAGATACGATATGATAATATATTCATGGCATTATCCTTATACTAGGGATTATAAAATTAATTTAAATTAGCATTTTTTCAAATTTTATTATTAGTAAGTAGTAAAAATAGGACTTGAAATCACAAGATTATTAAAAATAAGCTGTAGTCACTTTGCAGATTGGAGCTACCTTTACAAATCTAAGGCACAGTTTATGATGGGCCATCTGATAAGCACAATTGGTTGTACCTGTGATGTTGACATCTAGTGGCTTCTGCTATAACTGAAAGAATGATCTATTCAACCTTTGAACTCAACATTGTAAAAATTATTCTAGATTATAGTCTTTGTCTGAGCCAGGATCAGAGTGAAAACTTTTATTATATCATTTTACCTAAATGAAGAGTATAGAGTATTAAGTTGCCAGTGGCAGGAGGGAAGAGAAACAGGAGTTTTTAATAGGCATAGAGTTGCAGTTTTGCAGGATGAAAATATTCTGGAAATTGGTTATACATGTGAGTATACTTAACAATACTGAAGTTACAATTAAAAGGGGTTAAAGACATTAAATTATATTATATGTATTTTACCTCAATTAAAATAACACTTAAGAGAATCTTTGACAATTTATGCTACATACAAAGTTAATTTATGGACATTTTGGGGACATATTACTTACTAATTTATTGTTTATTCACAGTGATCTGCAGCCCTGGATCTTATAATCCCCGTGATGGAATTCACTGCCTTCAGTGCAACAGCAGTCTGGTGTATGGAGCAAAAGCATGCGTATAGGACATTATCTTGAATTATTTGGTGGTTTATTAAACATAAAAGTATATTTTTGAAATATTAATATATAATAAATCACTATTATGCTAAAATTAAATAATCAGATTTTACAAAAAAAGGTCTCATTGTTTTAATCATAGTATGTCCACATACTTTTAAGTGTGAACATCCTGTTATCTTTACCCATGAATGCTAAACCTACATATGACTTCAGAATATCTCTTGTATCACTGTTTAAAAAATAGTTTTAAATATACTGTATTAGATTAGCCCAGAAGATTTTGCAGGGTTTTAAAAATATGTATCCCATTTTCTTTACTATATATTCACTGGACTCAGGTTACCACATTTTTTTATAACTTTGATTTTAGCTTATTTCAATCCTTTGATTCAATCTTATGGAAATTTAACTATTCTAGTTCACCCTTTCACAGTTCAAAGCCAGTTTTAAAGCCTACATCTTATTACTATAGTTGTTAGTCTTTTTAGTGTAAGGCCTAACCCCAACCACATTGTGGGTTTTTAAAACAGTTCAATGTGGCTATCTTAAACCTCCATTTTAAAGTCTCTTTAATTACCCTGACATTTCAGAATGAAATGGAGAAATCATTATATTTCCCTAGATCAACATTTGAACTTTCTCAGTAGGGAGACTAAGATATTTCTTTTTTCTTTTTTTTTTTTTTTTTTGATAATACCTCTAGAAAAAGAATCACTCATTAGAACTTTAATTTTATTTATTTCACTATTAAAAATGAGTATTATGTGTTAGTTACTACTCATACCATGACTAATATTTATCTTCTCTCACACAAGGATGTTATATTTGAATTTGAAAACTTACCAAAGGTTTAAGTACCAGGAAAATACATAAATAACTTACAAAATGAACATTTTCTCAATTTCCTAAATATYGTTTGATTTATATTTGTATCATCTTTGCTATGGGACATTCCTGTTTTGCTCTTCATATTTCCTTTCTTAAAAGGACACAGATATTTGTACTTACCAAATTACACAAATTGGATGTAGGTACAGTGGGCAACACATTAACAGAAAAAGTATTAATTATATGCTGGGAACTATTATCCTTGATAAAATAAGTGTATGGTCCAGTAATTAAGTGTATGGCCCAGCCATCCCATGGACAAATATAACCCTGGAATTCTCACACAAATAAAAATGGAAGATAAATTAACTGTGGCTGTATTTTGTTGTTAGCCCTGGTAGTGCTTTTTTTTTTTTAAATCTCTTTCATCATGATGATGTGATTGTTTTCATATAGTTTCATAGAATTTTTTCAAATGCCTTCTTTCCTCTGGTAAGTAACATATTAAGCATTATTACACTACTGRAATGAGTTATCATAACTAGTACATATTGAGTGTATAAAATGATGAATTCGATATAATTCTTCCCTTAATTTTTACTCCTTAACACTGGCTAACTTTATTCTGTTATTTAAAATTTTACTAACATATCTTATGATATGTTTTTCTAACACATGAATAGCATCACATAAATAGTAGGTCAGCCTGGTAATGCAGAGATAGAGTTGGGATGGCAGTAGTAAGTCCTAGAGGTCAAAATCTATACTGAAGACATAGGTGATCTGGGTAAGAGTAGACCAAAAAAAAGAGGGTGATAGGAGTAAGTTCAGGATTTTTAGCTTAGATAGGCAGACTGGAAATGAACCTTCACAAATACCAAAATTTAGAACAACATAAGATGAAAGTGTGAGTCCAGGCAAAGAGAACAATTGGCAGAAATTGAAGCAAAGGAAAAACATAGAAGAAAGCGAGACATTAATTATTTCATGTTCCTGTTTCCCATGGTGAAATGTTTTTGCTTTATTGTATTATTTATCATTTATTTTAGTTGGTTGTATATTTGTCTTTCACATTCAGTTATAGAATATTCCTGTGTTTTAACTTTCTTCATAGGATATAGTTAAGTGCATAATAATTAATTAATAGACATTTAAAATCATTTGAGTAAAAATACTTCAATAGCTAAGACAAAAGTACCTTCTGTTATAATGTCAGACAGGCTATTGAAAGGTTGTTTAAATTTATGACAATATGTATGATAAAAATCATAAAATAACCCAAGAGAAATTATCATAAATCAGCTTCTGTTGAATATTTTTGCTTGCATCAAAATATTTTACATTAAAAAATAATAATATCTTACACATATATAATGCCATAATTTTCACAATATTTTTGAAAATTATATGTTCTGATATTTTTACCAACCTCTGAAGTTAGAAGGGCAAATATTATTCTCATTTTGTATTTATTAGATTTTTTTCTCACAATATGTAGTATGTGCTCATTTGGAAGTATGTAAAAAGATCCTTAAAAAATTAGATCCAATAATCTTACCTTTTGAAAACTATCCTAAGGCRGTGTATCAGAGATCAGGTAAAATATTATATCCAATGATATTAATTGACATATTTTATACACTAATAAAAAGGAAATGACAAGTGATCTACAAGAGAGAAATGGTTGAATAAATTATGCTGTTTCCATATGAAAAACTGTTACTGAGCCATTAAAATCATATTTCCAAATTAAAGGAATTAATTAGGATTATATATAATTTATTAGTTTATCTGCACTGTTATTATTTGTTTAGAATTTTTAAATGTACCATAATGTTAACAATGAATGCCTCATTGTTATAGGATCATGTGTGAGTTTTTGACACTTTCAGTTCTCCAAATTTTCTTCAATTAAATAAATGACTTTCAAAATCTTGGAAGCAATAAATGTAATTTGAAAAATTAAAGTAGTAGAATTTTAGAGAAACATTACTGCTTATCTCTTTAGTATCAACTCACTCTTTCCCTTTTTCCTAACACAGCACCAGTTTTGCTTACTCTAGGCAGTTTTCTTTTAAGCCAGTTAGCACATGGTTCCCCTGACCATTGCTTTGTTGCAGCCTTGAGGTGAATGCACTTGAGGAGGAAGCCTACACTCAGACTCTTGAGTAGCTGAGGTATTGCCACGGTGCCCAAAGAATTTCCTCCTTTTGTGTGAACTTTTTATTTATCTTATATATACCATTAGGGAGCCAGAATTTCCTTAATATTATGGTATATGTCTTTCCATAGAATTTTATTCATTTCATTTATGTAATTTCAATGAATTTAGAATTTTATTTCTTTAGCAAAAATAGAATAACACGGTTAAGTATTTCTATATATCAGACAGTTGCTGACATCTAGAATATTATGTTGCTTACAAAGTTTCTCTGTTATATGTAGTATTCTGGTTGACATCTTTATGAAAATCCTATGGCATTTTAAAAATCATCTTCATGATGAATACCCAAAAGTAGAATTGCTAGACTTAGATATTTCTAATCCTTTGGATAATTTGAGACATCATTTACTAAATAATTATTCTAATTTATAGTATCACCAGTGATATGTCAGAGCTCATATTTCACTGTTCCCTCTCGGATGTCATTTTAAAGATTATTATTTGATAGATGGAAAGTTTCCCATATTTTCATATTTTTAGTACTAGTGAAGTTCAAAGTTTTCTTATATAATAATTCTGCTGTTGCTAATGATAATATTTATTGAGTACTTATTATTTTGTTGGGAACTCTTCACATAGATTTTCATAGTTTGCCAAACTGATTTTTAATGTTCTCATTTCATATATGAAATATGAGTCATAATTATTAAATGATTTTCCCTCATTTACACATCTGCTGAGTTGTGAAGTTGATTGCAGCTTCAATTTGGTTCTGCTGCACATTACCAAGAGCCCTGGCTCCCTGGTCTCTGTTAGCTGGTGCAGAGGCTCTATGGTGTCCTGACCTCTGGCCATTTGGGCTCTTCTCCTTCATTCCTAGCACAATTTCTGTCCTCATGGTTGCAAGTGCTATTAGGTCTCCAGGCACTTCATTTGCCTTCCATTCAGATAAAAAAAAATGAATATACAAACCCATTATAAGACTTACATTATCTCTAACAGAATAGTGTCACAAGCCATTTGACACTTAAAGGAGACTGGAAATAGATTAATTTTGATCTCTTTAATACAGAAAAAGGAGTAAAAAGGGGGCACTCCCTTTAACTAACCTGCATTGATGCATACCTTCACATTAATAAATTCTATATGTAGTATGCTCATTCTGTCCCCCATGTAATACAACTTCAATACTCAGTTACTTCATCCAAGTTGAATGTCAGAATCATGGGTAATTTGTAGAAGTTTCYTCAAGGTCCAGGGTCTCTGTGGTCTAGACAGTTTGCCTCCAACCAACCTAATAGAAAATGGATAAAAAGTAACTAATTGAAAACTCCCATGCAGGAAAAGGAGGGAAGAGAAACACTTYTTAGTCACCAGCCAAGTAGACAAAAAACGGTGAGATTTTTCTCAGACTGCAACACCTCTTCCACTTCTTTGCTATGAACAAGATTTCTTGGTGTCTTAGGCATAACTACTACTGTTCCATCAACAGCAGAATCTTTGTTAAAGGCTTTGAATATGTTCACATATGCCTCCAAAACCTTATTATGAAAGTTGTTCTTGCATTGCTCTATGACTTTTCCCATGCTGCAACAATGTTTCTGATGGCATTTAGAATGTTGAAACCTTTCCAAAACTTTTGAAGCATTTGGTCAGATTCATTCTCTTCAATATCCTGTGCAAATGTTCAGCATAAATAATATCCTCTGAACACAGCTATTGCATCTTTGTGCAGTGTGATTGTGTTATAAATTTTACATTAAGATATGCATCACAGATATGCTATAGATGCCCTGATCAGAAAGAGCATGAGTGGGATGTTTTACATAGAATATTCTCTTGTTTATGTAATAAAATGGTTCAAAAACCATTCTTCAGACAATATTGATGTCATCCAGGATTTGTTGGCAATTATAAATGGAAGCATATGCTTGCTCACATTCTTGAGTGCTCTAAGGTTCTCTGTTTGCTGCAGTATTTCCCTCCCCAAAGCAGTGTAACATCATCTTTGAATGTCTAGAATCCTAGAATTTTCTTGACTCCTAATGAATGCATGTACACTCCAGCATATATTTCCAGAACAACAAGCTAGTTCATCATGATCCAATTATGTATTCTGGC